TCTTGGTCACTTTTTTGTTGATATTCCTATATTAGGCCAGCCCTCTTAAAAGAATGGAACAGGAATTACTATTAGTTTTTGTGTCTCGGCCTTTTCAATATGTAGTTGGTGAAGACTTAGTCTAGTAGAAAGTTTCTCTTAGACCTTGTAAAACTGTATGGAATGTCTGAGAGATTTGACTATTATCTTTCAGATACAAGTTTCTAGACCATAAAGGGCTGGTTTAAAACCTTTAAAGAGAGTCTGCATAAAACACAACTTTGAAACAGGTTCTCTCAGGTCTTTCATTCAGCAAGTATTTAGTATCAATTATGTGGTAGGCATTTTTCATGATGCTTGCATATGTTTCTCCTGGACAATTACAGTGATTTGGGAAAAGGGTTACCTTCCAGAGCTAGATTTTTGGGGGGTTGAGGAGGAAGTCAGTGTTTTTTAGAACTTTTTTTTGTTTGTCTTTTAGAACTTTTAACACTCTAGCCATAAGGGTCTTGTGGAAAAGCCATGTCGCGGAGAATAAGCACGGTTATTGAAATTGTGTTTTAAATAAAGGTGACCATCTTCTGGCTCAGGCAGAATGGCAAGCTTCTTTATTTGTGGTTGGTTTATGTAGGGAATTTTGTACATGTGCACAATACAGCAATGGCCTCATTGATCCATGTTTTTTTTTTTTTTGAGACAGAGCCTCAAGCTATCCCCCTGGGTAGAGTGTTACGGCATCACAGCTCACAGCAACCTCCAACTCCTGGGCTCAAGGGAGTCTCCTGCCTCAGCCTCCCAAGTAGCTGGGACTACAGGCACCTGCCACAACACCTGGCTATTTTTGGTTGCAGCCTTCATTGTTGTTTGGTGCCGGGGCTGGATTTGAACCTGCCATCTTAGGTGTATGTGGCTGGCGCCTTAGCCACTTGAGCCACAAGCACCAAGCCACTCAGTGATCCATTTAAACATCATGTGACTACCTTGTGATTAGCTTCTGATAATCCACCCAACATATACCTTTTGACATAACTCTATCAACATAACCCAATTTAACATAACTTAACGGAGAACCTGTTGTTAGCCAGTACTTCTTTGTTCTTATCTGATGATGCCTGAGGCTAGGGAGGAACAAGGTGGATTGAATACCTGCCCTTGCTGACCTTTCCGTTTGGAGGCTGTTACTTTGAATCTTTAAGCAAGGCATAAAGAAACTTCTTAGGCATACAGGAATTTGTGTGCAAACCTCTGCTCCCATGGGGGCTTTAAGTCAGGGGTATTCCTTTTACAAGGAATTTTTAGGCTAGACTTCTCAAAAGCCTTTCGTGAGCCCAGGTTTCATCTGTGCCATTAGATACCTGTTTGCATTGGGTAAATTCCTCTTCTCTTGAGGTCCCAGCACGTTTCCATTCCCGGACCTGTCAGCAAGTGACTTTCGTCACACACCACAGATAGGAAAGGTTACTGATGGGTATCTGGCCAGTTTTCCAAAGGACTTTTTCATTGGTCTTATAAAGTCAACCTTAATTCCTTAACACAGTCCGGAAATGCTGTTCCAGCTAAAGCCTTGGTCGTGTTATCCCTGCAACTAACCTGGCCACATGGGATTCTGCCTGAGTTTCTCACTAGTATACCTGCACAAAGTCTTTTACACTACTCTCTCTCAAATGGCTTCTTTGGCCAGAGGCATATAGGTGTTTTGCCTATATAACACCTACCTTAAAACATGTAGGTTTACCATTTTATTTATTCTCCAATATCATGTTATTTGAGGTCTTGATCTTGCTAACTGGTTTGATCAACCATTAGAGTCCTTCAAAAATTTAGTCCCTGCAGATTGTTGAAGGATTACTGGACATTGATGTATTCGGCTAGTATTGAGGCCTTACTACTTGTGTATCAGACACTGTCAACATAATGGTTTCTATACTTGGGGAATGGTGGGGTTAAGGAGATTTAGCAAACAACAAATATAGAAAGTTGTTGAACTGATGAAGTTTTAGAAGAACTAGCAGTGTCTCCTAGGGTTAGGACATTGTACTGTATTGCAGTTGGAGCCAAATAAAATACTCAGTGGATGAATTTGGATCTTGAAGGATCATTACAATTTAGGCAGGAGAAGGAGTACTGATATACAAAGGGTGGAGAGTAATATATGCAAAAGTGGGAACCTGTAGGACAATACAGAGGATTCAGTTTGCTGTACTAGAGAGTTAACTGTGGGCCAGCAATGAGAAATAAGGCACGGAAGTTTGTAGGGTCAACTCAACAAATTTTACAGCACCAACCATTTAACCTAGTGTAAGCTTTAAATTAAGAACAATAAGTAAATTGGGATTTTCTTTGGAAATTTCTAATATAGCTGGAAACATACTGGGTTGTTACTGTTTATCTTTTTCTTTCTTTCTTTCTTTTTTTTTTTTGAGACAGAGTCTCACTTATTAACCCTTGCTAGAGTGCTGTAGCGTCATAGCTCACAGCAACCTCCCAACTCCTTGAGCTTAGACTATTCTCTTGCCTCAGCTTCCCGAGTAGCTGGGACTACAGGTGCCCACCACAACGCCCGGCTATTTTTTGTTGTTGTTGTTGTTATTGCAGTTTGGCCGGGGCTGGGCTTGAACCCGCCACCCTTGGTATATGGGATCAGCGCCCTACCCACTGAGCCACAGGCTCCGCCCTATCTTTTTCTTCTGAGTAATCTGTTTATAAGGACTGTAATCCACATAACTAGCACAGTACTTGTTACAGTGAAAACACTCAATATTTGATAAGGATGGAGCCTGCACTCCACTATGAAATCTGGTACATTGTAGCTGTATAGCCAATACCATAGCTGCTTGCTAATAAATCTTAAGACTTTAAAGAATGCAAAGTAGTTTCTGTACATAAGAAGTTAGGGGCCTGGCACCCATAGCACAGTGGTTAGGGCGCCAGCATACATGGGGGCTGGCGGGTTCCAGCCTGGTCCAGGCCTGCTAAACAACAATGACAACAACAACAACAAAATAGCCAGGTGTTGCGTTGGGTACCTGTAGTCCCAGCTACTTGGGAGGCTGAGGCAAGAGAATCTCTTAAGCCCAAGAGTTTGAGGTTGCTGTGAGCTGTGATGCTACAGCAACACTCTACTGAGGGCAACAAAGTAAGACTCTGTCTCAAAAAAAAAAAAAAGTAGGAACTCCTTTGGTTGTTTTCTTTTTTTCTTTTCTATCTTTGGTTTTGGTTATAGAGCCTCCAGCTGTCCCCTTGGGTAGAGTGCTGTGGCATCACAGCTCACAGCAACCTCCAACTCCTGGGCTCAAGAGGGTTTCCTGCCTCAGCCTCCCAACTGGGACCACAGTCATCTGCCACAACGCCTGGCTATTTTTTTGGTTGTAGCTGTCATTGTTGTTTGGCGGCCCGGGTTGGATTCGAACCCGCCACCTTAGGTGTATGTGGCTGACGCCCTAGCTGCTTGAGCCATAGGCGCCGAGCCTATTTATTTATTTTTGAGACAGAGCTTCAAGCTGTCGTCCTGGGTAGAGTGCTGTCACATCATAGCTCACAGCAACCTCCAACTCCTGGGCTCAAGCGATTCTCTTGCCTCTGCCTCTGAGGTAGCTGGGACTATAGGCGCCTTCCACAATGCCTGGCTATTGTTTGGTTGCAGCCATCATTGTTGTTTGGCAGGCCTGGGCTGGATTTGAACCCGCTAGCTTAGGTGTATGTGGCTGGGACCTTAGCCACTTGAGCCACAGGCACCGAGCCTATTTATTTATTTATTTTTTGAGAGTGTCTCACTTTGACACCCTCAGTAGAGTGCAGTGGCCTCATAACTCACAGCAACCTAAAACTCTTGGGCTCAAGTGATTTTCTTGGGCTCAGCCTCCTGAGTAGGACTATAGGCACAAGCCACAACACCTGGCTATTTTTAGAGACCAGGTTTCACTCTGGCTCAGGTTGGTCTCGAACTCCTGAGCTCAGGCGATCCACCCACCTCAGCCTCCCAGAGTGTTATGATTAACAGGTGTGAACCACCATGTGCCAGGCCCAATTCCTTTGGTTTCATTCTCCAATCTAGGATAGAGAATACAAAGTATCTTAACTTTTCTTTCTTTTTTTTGAGACAAGATCTTACTCTGTCACTAATGCTGTAGTGCAATGGCACAGTCATAGCTCATTGCAACTTCAAACTCGTGGATTCAAGCTGTCCTCCTACCTCAGCTTCCTGAGTAACTGAGACTAAAGTGCACCGTGCCTGGCTCAATTTTTTTTGGGAGGGGGGAGATGGAAGTCTTGCTATGTTTCTCAGGCTGGTATTGAACTCCTGGACTGCAGTTGATTCTCCTGCTTTAGCCTCCCTGAGTTCCAGCATACAGGCATGAGCTACCACACCTATCCTTAACTACTTTTAAGTATGTTATCTCTCCCTATACAGATGAGCTGAGAGAACACTTCGCACAGTTTGGCCGTATACGAAGGTGCTTTGTATTTTTTGTGAGTATCATCTTAAGAAAAAATATTAATGTTATCCTTTAACTCTTGATTTTTAATCAAAGCACATTAACTTATATTAATATTTAATGGAAGAAGCTGTCTTTGTTGATATAATTATGGATGGTACTTATTAAAAATATGCTTATTGTAGGTATTTCTGTTAGTTTTTTATTGTTATGTAACAAATTAGCACAATGCTAATGGCTCAAACAACACACATATTATCTCACAGCTGGGCATATCGCCTACCCGGGGCTGCAGTGTGTCTCATGAAAGGCTCAACTGGGGAAAGACTGCCTTCCAAGCTCCTTCAGTTTAATGGCAGAATTCATTTTTCAACCCTAGGACCGAAGTCTCTGTTTTCCTGCTGACTTTTGGCTTTTAGCTGGGATGACTCTTAGCTCCTAGGAACTGCCAGGCAGTTCCTTGTTACCTGACTTCTCTGTTTTACAATGTGGCAGCTTGTTTCTTTAAAGCTAGTTAGTCTCATATATTAACATATTCACAGGGGTAACACCCCATCACAGTTGCCATATTACTCAATTGAGGGAGCAATAGCCCCATAACCTTTGCCATATTCTTTTTTTTTTTTTTTTTTTTTTTGAGACAGAGCCTCAAGCTATTCCCCTGGGTAGAGTGCCATGGCATCACAGCTCACAGCAACCTCCAACTCCTGGGCTTAAGCGAGTCTCCTGCCTCAGCCTCCCAAGTAGCTGGGACTACAGGCGCCCGCCACAACGCCTGGCCATTTTTTGGTTGCAGCCGTCATTGTTGTTTGGCAGGCCCGAGCTGGGGATTCGAACCCACCACCTTAGGTGTATGTGGCTAGCGCCTTAGCTGCTTGAGCCACAGGCGCCAAGCCTGCCATATTCTTTTTGTTAGAAGTAAGTCACATGCTTCACTTCAAGGGGAGGAATGAATGGATATCATGGGACTCATCTTAAAATTCTGCCTACTACAGTATTCTAATATGGACTTCAAATGTTAGAGAACAATTTTTATCATGGAACTAATTTGGCAGAGAATTTGTTTTGTTTTTACTGAGTACCATTTTTTTTAGTATTTAAAATAAGTTACTTTTATATCAGTTGTTTTTCCTTTCCTTTTCTCATGAAGGACAGTCAGCCTATAAATTTGTTCTTTATTATCTTGAGCTTTATAGCTTTATCCTGAACTTTTTTTCTGAGGGCTTTCTAAAATTATTGGGCTTTTTGGGGTATGATAGTTGACATTGTTCACACACACTTCACTGAAACTACCCTTTTTTCCTCATGGCACTGAAAGGGCTGTTAATTATCAATTTAAAGGGACTTAAATTCTCCCCCCCTCCCCGACAGAGTCTCACTCAGTTGCCCTGGGGTTGAGTGCCATGGCATCATAGCTCACAGCAACCTCAAACTCTTGGGCTTAGGTGATTCTCTTGCCTCGGTCTCCCGAGTAGCTGGGACTACAGGCACCTGCCACACTCCCGGCTATTTTTTAGAGATGGGGTCTCACTCTTGCTCAGGCTAGTCTCAAATTCCTGAGCTCAAGCAATCCGCCCACCTTGGCCTCTGGGATTACCATTGCATCTGGCCAGGGACTTGAATTCTTAATCCTTGGTTTAATGTTAACTTCCAAAGATCTAACAGATTACTCATATCAAGTGCTGGTAAAGGTATAGGGAAACTAGCACTTAAATTATTGAGAAGTTTAAAAATTAACAATTTTCAGCTCCGCCCCCACAGCACAGTGGTTACAGTGTCGGCCACATCCAGCGAGGCTGGATGGGTTTGAACCCATTCCAGGCCAGCTGAGCAACAATGACAACTGCAACAGAAAAACAGCCGGGCGTTGTGATGGGCGCCTGTAGTCCCAGCTACTTGGGAACCTGAGGCAAGTCTCGCTGAAGCTCAAGAGTTTGATGTTGCTATGAGCTGTGATGCCATGGCACGCTACCCAGGGCAACATAGTGAGACACTGTCTCAAAAAAAATTAACAATTTACATTTGCTTTGCTTTAGCAATTCCATGTCTAGGAATTTATCTTATAGATATGTGTGGTTAAAATTATCCAAAGCAGGCTCGGTGCCTGTGGCTCAAGTGGCTAAGGTGCCAGCCACATACACCTGAGCAGCTGGGCCCGCCAAACAACCATGGCTGCAACCAAAAAATAGCTAAATAGCTGGGCATTGTGGTGGGCACCTGTAGTCCCAGCTACTTGGGAGGTGGAGGCAGGAGAATCACTTGAGCCCAGGAGTTGGAGGTTGCTGTGAGCTCTGATGCCACAGCAGTCTACGCAGGGTGACAGCTTGAGGCTCTGTCTCAAAAAAAAAAAAAAAAATTATCCAAAGCAGTTTAATATCAAGTGGAAAAAATGTAAGTGTTCATTGGTGGGATTGATTGAATAGATAATAAATGATTGATGACGATGAAATTGTACAGTACATAGTTAATTAAGGGACTGAGGCACATACATTATAGACATGAAAAACTTCCAGAAGTTTAAAAAGTACAGTTTTTTAAAAGGCATTTAATTAATTCATTAATTAGGAACAGACTCACTATGTTGCCCAAGCTAGAATGCACTGGTGTCATCATAGCTCACAACAATCTCAAATTCCTGGGTTCAAGCGATTCTCCTGCCTTAGCCTCCTGAGTATCTGGGACTACAGGCTTCAGCTGTAGAATGGCCTGCCCAACATTGAGATCTATCTCTACTAAAAACAGAAAAATTAGGCTAATTTTTAGTAGAGATGGATCTTGATTTTATGCAAGCCATTCTCAAACTCCTAACCTGACTCGATCCTCCCATTTCAGCCTCCCAGAGTGTTGGAATTACAGGTGTGAGCCACTACACCTGGCCTGGAGAACATTTTAAAAAACTGTTTATTCTAAAAAAAAAGAAAAAGAAAAAAAATTTTTTTTTTTTTAGTTGTAATCTTAAATATAAGTAAAATAACTTAGGGCTTAAAAAGAACAGTTTTGATTTAAACAAAAGAAGGCTTTTCTTCTTTTGAGACAGAGCCTCAAGCTGTCACCCTGGGTGACACCTGTGTGCTGAGTGCTATGGAATCACAGCTCACAGCAACCTTCAACTCCTGGGCCTAAGCGATTCCCCTGCCTTTGCCTCCCTAGTAGCTGGGATTATAAGTGCCTGCCACAACGCCCGGCTATTTTTTGGTTGCAGCCGTAATTATTGTTTGGCGAACCCAGGCTGGATTTGAACCTGCCAGCTCAGGTGTATGTGGCTGGCGCCTTAGCTGCTTGAGCCACAGGTGCTGAGCCATTTTATTTTTTTTGAGACAGAGCCTCAGCCTCTTGCCCTGGGTAGAGTGCTGTTGCATCATAGCTCATAGCAACCTCCAACTCCTGGGCTCAAGCGAGTCTCCTGCCTCCGCCTCCCAAGTAGCTGGGACTACAGGCACCTGCCACAAAGCCTGGCTATTTTTTGGTTGCAGCTGTCGTCGTTTGGCAGGCCTGGGCTGGATTCAAACCCGCCAGCTCTGGTGTATGTGGCTGGCACCTTAGCTGCTTGAGCCACAGGCACTGAGCCAGGTTTTTCTTCTTGGTAAAATAAATAAAATTCAACAGGAAAAAAAATGAGTTTTCAGTTAAATTTATGGACTCAGGTTAGAAACCCTGGTTCCTATCTTAAGTACATGTTACCCAAGTTTTAGTAAATTTTAGTAACTTTCACTTGTGTAAATAGTCACATGGTGATAAATGAGTGCTTTAGAAATTGTCATCTAGGCTCGGCACCTATAGCTCAACCAGCTAAGGCGCCAGCCACATACACCTAAGGTGGCGGGTTCAAATCCCCAGTCTGGACCCGCCAAACAACAATGATGGCTGCAACCAAAAAATAGCCGGGCGTTGTGGCGGGCGCCTGTGGTCCCAGCTACTTGGGAGGCGGAGGCAAGAGAC